GCAAAGTGCAAACCAACAGTTTAACTGGAAACTATTTATTTATATCATTTTCTATATGATTGGTTGCACATATTTTTTTCTCAGTTGTATCTTGCAATTAACATAAATAGCAGCCGGTGGAGCAAATAAATAAATAAATAAATACAAAAATATTTAAAGCCCATTTGTCAAAATACAATTTTTATTTCTTTTTACTACAGTGTCCTTCCCCCAAGGTGATGACCCCAGTATCTTGTATAAGTCATTTAGAACAGGTTCTCAAAGTACTGGCCTTTGAACCACTTCCAGCCCATGAACTTCCCAATTTTGGCCACAACTAGATGTCAATCACGACTTATTTTTCCCCTTGTGTATTATAAACTATGTTTCCCAACATTGTTTCAGCCATTACACATGCTGTATGTTGCTATATGTTGTTGCCATACTTGCAGAAATTGGAGAAAGACGAGGATGTCTTCCTTTTGATAGTTCTCCAAATAAAAATTTAGGACCGTGTGAAATTAATACAAATATAAATACCAAGCTAAAAAAAGTATTTTACTATACTTTATATAGTCCTTGTAAAATATGCTAAATAAACGTTGTTGTACAGATCATGCATGGGTGCAGCTCAGGGAAATTAAGATACTCCAATTAAGGTACTTCAAAATGATATAAATCAGCATTTTGACATATTTTAAGAAGAGCGCTGAACTTGTCTTTAGTTAAAATGTGGGGGTTTCTGTTTTTTTTTTTAACTGAAAAGCAACTTGTTTTACATTATTTGCATTATTTGAAGTCTTGAGGTGGGCTTCTAAGGGCAGGGCATTGATGGTGACCCTCCTCATCTCCAGTTGAGCCGCTAAGCACTTCAGCACTTTGTTGTGGCGCCAGGTGTTTCGGCCTTTTGTAAGACTGGTCTTGCAACTCACAAGAATGTTTTAGCCTTGCTGGGGGGAGGACACAGGAAGACAGGCTAGATCCTCTCCAAACCAGAGATGTAGGTTATTTGAAGAGAGCAGTACATCATACGTGGCTCAGTGTGTTCGACTCCATGTTCCACACCTCACTCCAGAGGCATCTGGGTAGTTTAACCAACCTCTCCAGACGATTGGCATGGGACAGGGTGACCTCATACATCGAAGCTGGCCGCATGAGGTGGGATAGTATTCCAAACTGAAAGTACTAGAGCTTCAGCTTCCCTGGGAGACCAGAGTTGTTCCACCTGCTCGTAGTGTTTGAGCTCTGCATTGTACCAATGACCAAGGCTTTTGATTGGCTTCTCCACGATCGTTGGTATTGATTTATTGTTAGTATGAAACCTCTTGTTGGTTAGTTGGCCCTTGACAATTGAAATGCTGTGGAATTCAGTTAGTTTAATCTCTATACTTACCCATCTGATATTAGTCTGGAGTGTCCAGTAGGCGTCAGGTGAATGCCTTTGTTGATGTTATAGTTGTCATGTCATAGTGGTGGCCTGGCGGTTAAGGAAGCAGACGGGTTTCAGGTTCGAGTCCACCAGCTGCTAATGTGCCACTAAGGTGCACTCTAAGCATGGCACTGTCCCCACACACTGCTCCCAGCAGGGGGCGCTTGAGCTGCCCACTGCTCACTTTGGTGATCAGTAAAATGCAGAGGTCACATACAGTTGTGTGCAGCTATGTGCTGTGTCACAATGACAAGTAGTTCACTTTCTTTTCTAAACGCCCTGTTGGATGAACGCCGCATGCCTGCTCTTCAGGGATTCGTCTCCAACCACCCACTGAGAAGCTACCCCCAGCCTTTTCCACCGCTGTGTTAACATAGTTGTTCCTCTGTAGGAAAGCTGAGAGTCTTTATGCCAACACTAAAGAAAAACAAAGTGTTTCCACACTTTAAAAAACATTTTCATGTGCAACATTCACAAAACAATGACCTGCTACAGTTAGTGTGTGTGGCACAGTGCGATGCAAGTTAGGCAATGCTCATTGCTGTCACACCTCGCCCTTCTCCTGTATATCTGAACAGGAAACACGTAAGTTCATTTTGATACCGAACAAGTGTAGTTTGAATGTAGTTTAATTTCAGAGTGCGTCATCTATCTGTTTCATCTGTTTGGTTTGTAGTAAAGTAATTTCATCAACACGATTCTTCGTAATAGCATGGGGCTACCTGGGAAAATCCAGTTAAAGTAAATATAGACTTTTATTCAAATTCAAAACAACTTTATTAGTCCCACAGGGGGCAATTAGTTAAAGCAGCATGGTATAGGTGGAAAACACAAAGCAACACACAACAGCATTCCGTTCAGCATTCACACTGCTGCTCAAAGGTTACACAAACCTGAGTGCTTAACAAACAGAAAAAATAGAAACATCCTTCTGCCAGTATATTGACTTTTTGGCAATAAACCTTTTTTTATTTTACACAATGCACCCAACATGGAAACCCCCCCCCCCCCGCGAAAAAACTGCTGCTCTACAATCATCCTTGAAAGTTCATGCTACTCTGCAGTAAATATGATAACATGACAAGCAGTCCTGCTGCTAAAACACTGAGACTAACCTAACAAATAAAGACTAAAGACAAATTCATATCAACACAATTAATTATTTACACCTCAGTCCTTGTGACCCCGTGGCATATGCTGTTGTATGTTAGCTTTCAGTTCTTCATATGAACAGTACGTGAATGTTTAAACCTGTGTTGCAGTCTTTCTGCTGAATCAAATCTATTCATTTAAACGCTCTCCTGCTCAGGGCTTCAGTCCACAGGGCCCTGGAAGATGAGTTTGATGAAGCCCTGTTCGCCCGTCAGCCAGGTACCACAGAATGGGCAGGCAGCATGGAAGGCATGGGTGCCATGTGGTAGCGGGATCTGGCTCCACCCTACTACTGTCTTTTCTGAGCACACGTGGCCACAGGGACAGAAAGCGTGAGTGGGTGGCCCTGCGTCCAGGTACAATCCTCCCTCACAGCCCAGCCACAGTGGCACATATGGGCCCACTCTCCGGCACATGGGGCACTCCCTCTCCCCAGTGTTGGCTGGTACTGTGCCTCCAAGGCCGGCAGGAACCTTTTCTTTGCGGTAGCCCCAGTTGTGGTAGCCATGCACATGGCCACAGTTGACATAAACCCAGGGCTGCTTCTTGTCAACAATCTCTCGCTGGGCCAGGCTGGGAAACGCCAGGGTGTTAAAGCCCACTGGACATTGTGGTCGAGCAGCGTTCAACTCCTGGCGAAGGGACTCCAGCTGTTTGAGGGTGGGGGTGTGTCGCAGTCCAGCAGGGGTCCTCCAGAGAAGGGTAGCCCCACACAGATCGATCAAGGAACCATCTTGTAGAGTGTTTGACTCATTTTCAACCTCGTGAGAAAAAGGTGAGGGAAATTCAAATTTAACACTTTTATCAGGAAGGCCAATCAAACACATCTCTCCTGACTCTTACTCAAATCACTGAACCAATGATTTAGTTATATATACTGTAAGTACAGAATGTTGGTTTCAGCATCATGTGTTTTGATGTAAATTGAGCTGAGCCCTTACAGCAAACCCTTTGTGTCTCCATGAGTCAGAGGTTCCCAAAGTGGGGGGGTCGCAATGCCCTTGCAGGGCATAATGCAGCATATTTTCCAATGGCAAAAAACGGCAAAAAACAGATTGGTTGAAGGTGGTGTAAAAAGGAATATCTGATAATAATATTAGAAAAGGGGGGGGCATTATTTTTTATTTTACCTGTCGATTTTGCTGTCTCCCGTTCAATCGTCTTTGAGCAGCAGTAGCGGCCCCACACGGTGTGCCCCTGCCCCTCCCCACACACAACATCTTTTTTTTTTGGTAGGGGCCACAAATTGTTTCTTATGATCCAAGGGTGGGCCCAGCAGAGAAATTTTGGGAACCACTGCCATAAATTGTATTTTAATAATGAAATTGTGGATTCATTTTTTTAACTTAAATATCAGACCAAATTGTGCAGTAAATTGTATTTATTTGGTATAATAGATATGACGAAACCTTAGGCCTTGTGACCCAGCAGAAGCAGAGGTATAATCTTCTTGTGGTTTTCTCACCAGTTTTCCTCTCTGCTGGGCTGAGCGTGTCTCCCGCAGGGCAAATACATTGCCACAGACCGAAATCTCCCTCCAGACACCTGGAGCTGGCTCGGACACAAATTCCCCTGCAGGGTGCATCACCAGAACCCCATTTGTGGTCAGACCGTCCATCAATCCATCTGACGTCCTCCATTTGGCAGCACGCTCCTGAGAGAAGCCCATCAATACACACACACAGAGAACAGGCAGAAGTAAAGGTTAGTGGAGTTGATGAAAAAGCACAGAGGTGGTTGGTATCAGAGGTAGTAAAAAAAAACAAAACAGCTAATGCTGCATTTGTTCTGCTGCTATATTTTGCTTAGTGCAGACTCGCTGCTATACTACCTAATGCAATAAGAGAAAGCCTTTGTATTGGATAGAGAGCTGTTCATAAAAGACAGAATAGACAAGAAGACACAAAACAGCAGGTTTGACGTAACTGTTTTCCTATAAAAAGGCAAAAAAAAAAAAAGGTAACAAAGGCAAAAAAAAAAAAGCTAGAGATAATTATACTTCTGCCTTTTCCAATACCCACGTTTCCCCAATAGATAGTGTAAAAAATGATAAAAGCATATGACTTTTACATGTCATTAATCTTAGTTCACACTAACCCTTCATCTACCTGCTCCTGACCCGGCCCCCCGTTCAATTTTAGGACAATTGTGGCAAGTCAAAATGTTTGCAGTCATCAAAAATCACCACCATCACCACCACAGCCAAATGCGCCTGTCCCTGGAGGCTCTTGATCAGGGGTCACCATTGACCCCTGATCAAGAGCCTCCAGGGCTTGTCATAAGGTGGTCTATAGTCCCCATATATAAAAATAAAACTAGTCAACAAGAGGGTCAAAAATGTAACTGTTACTGTGCTTTGTGAATCAGTTATACTGGCAATGATATTCAAATGGCGATGGTAAGAAGAGTCTGCTATTCTATGTCCCAGAACTTATCCTTATTACATTATTCGGGACGTCTGTATCGAACAAGTAGCTCTTCGTATTACTAAGTGCCCTTGAAGTAGCTCTCAGTTTCAAAAAGGTTGGTGACCCCTGATCTAGATGTAGTACTGTTTACTCACAATGGTAAGAAGACCTAGTCGTGAAGCATGCCATACTTTTATATCCCATGTCCCTGGAGGACTGAATACTTGATTAGAACATATTATTCCATTCGTAATAAAATAATAATCGTTTGAATCCCATAGACCACACAAGAAAATAAAGACGGATAGCAAAATTACAGTTTTAAGCCCTCAGGAAGTTCATAGAGGTCAACTGGATGGTTTTAGCTCCAATGATACAATGGCCACTGAAATTGGAATATTACTAATGTTAGAATTCAGAATTATTAATCATTTAATTAATTACAGGCTGACTGCATATTATTAATAATCAGTAATGATTAATTGCAATTAATCATGATTAATTCAGATAAAACGACATTCATAAATATCACAGAAACTTCTTTTTTTTTTTCTGTATCTTGCTGGAATACAAAAATAAACAACGGCAGGTTGATGAACAGTATGCGTTTCACACATAGACATACTAATTGTCCTGCACTTAGTGAGGCTAGTCTGGCGCAAGCTAAGCATCTCCTATTGCGGTAGTTGCATTCCAAGACCCGCCGCGAAACAGAGGCGAGATAGTTATTATATTATTTACGCATGTATTTACCCTTTATGGACCTCCTCCACACTGTTATCAACCCTCTCTAGACTGTATTACCCTTTCCCACACGATTATATGCACAGTAGAGCTGTATAGTGGCGACGCAGAGCAAAGTAACCGAGGGAGTTGGCGACAGACAAGGGGAGATGCTGAGAGCCAATCAGTGTGAGGAACAGAAGAGCATGCTCAATAAGCCAATAGTACACCGAGTACACATTATATTAGCCAATAGTATGCTGTGTACAATCTTGTCAAGGTAAACAAAGCTACCAGCGATCGTTCGCAAATGGTCTTAGTATGTGGTATGTATAATTATTCTATGATGTTTTTTAGTTTATTTTTTGTTATATTTCGCAATATAGCAAAAATTCCGCGAGATCGGATAAAAAATCTACGCTGTACTGGGGGAGTGAAAGGAGATATAGAAAGGGAACATTGTATTTATTTTTAGTTCAAGGTTATTTTTGAATCAAATAAATGGACGTTGGAATGAATACGATTACAATATAGTGTCTGTGTTAAAATGTGTTCAAAATATAGATCTAACAATACCATTGTTAGTGATATTATCAATTGTTGATTATTTATTACAAAATGTAAATGGCTACAAAAGAAGAATCTTTTAATGAGGTATTGTCATAGAGTGCTTATGGGAATTCTTATGTAACAACATGTCCTTTTGGATGCTCAAGCAATAACATGATGACTTCAAGTATTGCATCAGGGACAGAACATTTGTATAAAAAAAACATTACATCACCCCGTCACACACACACACACGTGCAAAACATGGCTTCACCCTCTCATATGCCCCCTTGAAGATGTCACATGTGCTGACATCACAGTTATGATGTCACCCACAAGTGGCACAGTTACATCCCTGCTCTTGCTGCTAGTGTGGTTGCCATGGTTTCAGTGGAGCATATGTAGCTTCACCAAGCAGGCCCATTAGGCACAGAACTCACCCCCAGGAAGATATTTTTAGAGGAGTCAAAGCCAGCAGCGTATATGCGGGCAGTGTAGGGGGCGCTGCGCTCACACATGATGCGACACGCGTAGCGAGAGATGGTGCTCTGTGCCGACTGTCCTCCACCACCACCGCTCTCCCCTGCTGCCCCTCCCCCCTGACTGCTTCCGCTGCCTCCTGTGTCCGTCACCACAAAGTCTATCATGCTCTCTGTTGAGCGACCGATCTGGGAAGGAGAAGACAATAGGATGACGTTGACATCGTTGATGATCAGAAAATAAAAATATCACTAACGGTTCTAAGACACATGAATGCATTCAGCTGTCATCTTCCTGTCTTTAAGTCTTTCTTAAACCTTTTTGTGCACCATTCTTTTCATTGGATGGCTGGCTGTTACATACTATTGTCATTTTAAATTACAGCATCATGTGTATAACTGCAAACCCAAGCTGAAACCTGATGTAATCCTTCCTGAAAACATTTTTCACTGGGACCAGTATCACCTCTGTAATACTGACTGTGCGTTTCTATTTGAGAATAGTCTCTCTTTAAAGCAAAGGCGTTTTATCTTACTGTTTTTTTTTACAAACTATAAGACACAATTTTTTTTTTCATCCTTTGGCTGGGTTTGCAACTTATACTTAGGTGCATCACATATATTAAATATATAACTTCACGTTTGTTATTTTCACATTGACAGCCGCTAGAGGGCACTCTAGCTGGCTGGTGCGTCTTATACCCCGGAGCGACTTATAGTCCGGAAAATTCAGTAAGGAATCTAATAATGATTGTTATATGTACTTTAGGAAAAAGTACTGCTTTACTGAGGCTTTCTGAAAGCCATATTTTGAATCATATTAACATATAAACATACTGTATTACACTCTGTGACCTCTTTCACATTTTAAAGAATATATATGGCAATGAAAAAATATGTTATATAAGTTATATAATATATAATAAGTTGAATTCAGTTGCGCTTGAGGGCAAATGGTCAATTATATTCAACATGTAATTCCAACCGTGACCCTTTGTATCTCTCCAGTACAATTGAATATTTTTACTTTTTTGCTGTTGAATACTCAAAGCTAACTATTAAGTATATTAGTGTAGCTGAAATACTCACATTTGAGGTTTATTGTGCAACAACTATTACAGTACAATATGTATTTAAGTATTTAGGTACAGACCATTCTCACAATGTTATTATTATTAAATACCCTAATACCATTTTTAATCTTACTTAGGCACCCATATTAGTTAATAAATTGTTCCATCCTGTAGTAGTTAAAAAAAAGAAAAAGTAAACAGTTAAAGTTGACTTTTAATTCAGGTTCTAGTTGGATTGAATGTTAATTGTTGTGCAACTGTTTAACTGACACATGCATGTCGTCATGTGATCAGCATAGCGTTCTTTGGCTTTGCACCTGGACAAGTTATTTCGGAATTTAAAACCCCCATCTCGAGGTGGATTACTATAGCACATTAGTTGGTGAGCAAATGCGCTAGTGTGCTCAGTGTATACAAAACCGTTTTCGCTGTGCGGTGAACACATATTAAGTGCCAGTTTGAAATAATGGAATATTAATAAAAACATAACAACTACCCATAATGTAGTACTTCTCAAATAGTGGGATGGGCTGCGTCCAGGACCGGGGCTGCGTTCACTTTTCAAATGAAGTCCTTGATCCAGAAAATGAAACGCCTTCATATGAGCCTGATAAGATCTCATTACTCAATTTCTCAATAGTATTTCAATTTGCGGGGGTGTGGGTTGGGGCATGAGAACAATTCTGTCCCCACGAGGGGGGGCGTGACGGAAAATAATTGCGCAGCACTGCCATAATGGCTGATGTAGCATAAAGTGATAAACTATCCATATTACTATACTAACAGTAAGTGATGCACCAGCTACGCCAGGTTTGGATTTCCTTCTTTAGTTGTTTTCTTGATCCACGGTCATCCCAGTGATCTGGTAGGAGTTTGTTTATTGTGCGACACGTCTTACTCATTCTCGCTTATATATATTTTTATATACCTCATAGTTTTATCATCCTCTTCCTGGATGATGCTCTTTATCTTCTATACCACACAATATTGTCTTTATTCCCCCTGCAGTTATTTCAGAAATCTGCAACCACAGCACCCGTGGACAGTCTGATGTGATTAAGCTTTTATTTTTGGTATGACCGTGTGGACGACTGACAACTGATAAGCTGGTCTGTTTTGTTTTTTGTTGGTGTTTTGGTTTGTAAATGAGATTCCATTCCATATATTTGCAGTATGTTTACATTTTAATCCATCATGCCTAAGCAATGTTCTTGTATGTGTGTGTGTGTGTGCATGAGTCCGTGTACAGAAACTGACCTGGAACATGTCGGTGTTGGTGTCATGTGTGTACTCCACAATGACAGAGTGACTCCGTGACAGTGTGTAGGAGATGCTGTGCTGGCTTTTGTTGCTGAGTGCCTGCCAATGAAAAACACATTATCCTGGTCACATGACAAGGAGATCTGAAGGTCTACCCTTAAGGAAAATGTTGCTATAGGACATTTTCTATTTCTCACGATGATAGTACACCGGCTATGTGATTGTGAGTGTGACAGGGTCACTATCAGCTGTAATCTAAATAACAGTTACATCATTTTCCACACTGACATTATGTTTAGGTAAATAAGAAACTATTATTGACAGATATGGTAGGGTGCTATCCTAGATGATGCTAATCCTCAGGTAGTATCCTACTTGGAAAATTAGTTTCTTTCTTTCTATCTATCTATCTATCTATCTATCTATCTATCTATCTATCTATCTATCTATCTATCTATCTATCTGTCTGTCTATCTGTCTATCTATCTATCTATCTATCTATCTTTTATATTAAAAAACATCTTAAATGTGTTACTAATCCGTTGTGGCAATAAAAGCGTGATCTCCAAAAATCACATTTGAGTTCTTCTACTACCTGATACACTCACGTGTTCAATTCTGAACTACAATGAGATTTTTTTTTTCTTTTGAGACAACCAAGTAAATGGGATCCTGTGTAAGACCGGTGCTGACCTTTGACACCAGAGGCGTTGAGACATTGTGGATAACATCGGGTTTGACACCATTGGCCTTAGGTCTCTTGTAAAGTGCCAGACGACTTCTTCTGCGGCCCTTGTCCCCATTGGCCAGCGACCCATTGTGTCTGTGAGACATAGAAGTGATATCATATTTGGTAGGCAAATAGTGGGACAGTAGTGGGATTTAAATTGAGCAGAAATATGTCTCAAATATTTAAAATAGCTTTCAATTAATTATTAAATCATCTTGCAGAAAACCTGAAAAAAACAAACAACTAGAAGTTACAAAAGAAATGACAAAAGAGGGAAATAGTAAAGAGAATAAAACGCTCACAAAATTTACAACATATTGCAATCAGCCAGTATAAAAGGAAATAGTAAGGAGAATAAAACACTCACAAAATTTACAACATATTGCAATTTACAACAACATATTGCAATCAGCCAGTATAAAGTAAAATAATACGTTAGAAATGGGTACTAGAAGCATGTCATTAGTAAATAACAAAACAAAAAGACAAAAAGCAAAATAGTCAGCAATGAATGAAGGGAACATGTGATCAATGGAAGATAAAATATATTAATACAATGTCACATGTTTGCCTGTTGTCCAATGTATAAGGTACATATAAATGAAGTGCAAATAATACTGGATCAGATTATCTAGCTCAACAGTGTTAAGCAGAGTCATGTCTGATACAGTGCTTCTCAAATAGTGGGGTCTCTCTGTCTGTAGCCTTTCAAGTTCCATTTATTGTACTTTTTTTTTCACAGGCCAACAACAAAAATACAAAAGTGCTATAACAGCATACACCGCTAATACTACAAATCCTGCCAGTATATAGAGACTACTGTATATACTGGTGGACTAACTCTTGTACACATTTGATATGATCTCGCAGGCCAAATATAACTACACTGCCGGCCAGATTTGGTCCCCAGGCCTGAATTTGACACGTATGCCTTATGTGATGCTGGAGTGGCCACATGATCAGAAGATCGCCCTGCAGTCAATCCTGGAGGAACGAAATTGTCAAGGGTTAGAAAGTGACTTGAGATGCGATCAACAACTGATTGTTGTGTTATGTCAATTAGCAAAAACTACAAAAGTAATATATGGAGAGGCACCTGCTCATTGTGTGTCTGTGTAGTTCTGTCAATGAGATGACATCATTAAATATTATTGTCAAATTAGTGGATGTGAAAAAAGTCATCATTGCCCTCATCCTAAGACTTAATCTTTATCTGTTTATATAGCACTTTTCATTCATTGAATGTAGTGCTGTACAGATAAAAGGACCAAACTTCCCCATCTCCCCCTGAAACCGCAGACAGAACCAAAGCATTCTCACTATTCATCAGAGAGTGCATCAATAGGTGAGGGTGTGAGAACATACGTCGGCGTTTTGTGCCTGAAATAGTAGCACAGCATCCCTTTTGGAAACATTCCTGTCGTGTATGTACATGTAATTCATAACCTGACCATTGCATTTATGACATATGTATCTGTCTATCTATCTATCTATCTATCTATCTATCTATCTATCTATCTATCTATCTATCTATCTATCTATCTATCTCTCTATCTCTTTATCTATCTATCTATCTATCTATCTATCTATCTATCTATCTATCTATCCATCTATCTATCTATCTATCTATCTATCTATCTATCTATCTCTCTATCTCTCTATCTATCTATCTATCTATCTATCTATCTATCTATAATTACTTATGTGATAATTACTATTACCATTACCATACTATTACCATTACTGTGCATGCAGAACGTGTCGAGTGTTGCTTTCAAAACTTGAATGAGTCAGCAAGAGCAAGTGTGGGAGACAGAGCAAGGGTGGCAGAGTGAGTGAGTGAGAGAGAGAGAGAGAGTAAGAGGTAGAAAGAGAATATGAGTGAGTGAAAGAGTGCGAAAGAAAAAAGTGGCAGAAATGTTTGGGTCACACTGCTACTGTCGTGATTGCCATTGATTCTATGACACAAGAGAACAAATCTCTTGTTTACATGTCCTGCCTTCTAAACAAAAATATCACCTGAATCACCCACCCAAAATGTTTCATAATTCACTGCTGATTGGACTTCATTCATAGCAGATTTGTTTGTCTAGTTTGTATCCATTGGCAAATTCAGAAATAGATTTTGTCATCCACATTTAGCCCCACATAACCTCATATATTTTTTTTAATTTGTTAAGTGGGATTTTTCAATATAAAGTGAATAATTCTGCCCATGTCTTAGTTCCATCTATCTATCATTTAATAAACACAATTAATGTGCACATTTCAACAGCCCTAATTACTATCAAACCCCTAACAGCATGTTACTGTACATAGATGTCCAGATTAGGTGGTCTATAAAAGCATGCATGGATCCTCTGGGTTCTTCAGGTTCCCACAATCCTTTACTGTACTACAGTTACTGTACATAGATGTGGGTTCTTCAGGTTCCCACAATCCTTTGCACAAGCAAGCAATTATGACAATAATTGGATGATTCACAGTGACAGCACTGCTTTTTTTTTTTAACTTTTGCCTCAAGTCCATAAAAGACCATTTGTAGGCTCCATTTTATAACTGGAAAAAATATTTCAAGCTCACATTAGTCGACACAGGCCTTAGAAATGTGCAGATAATGGAAAGTTTAAATGCCTCACCCTAACACGATGAGCTCGCCGTACTTGATGGGCTCCTTCTCCTCGGGAAAGACTCCGTCGTGCGGTTGTGAGCTGGTGCCCAGAGGAGGCGAAGTCTGGCTCTTGTTGCACGATGGGCGCAGCTCCAGTGATGGGGGGGGACACAGCGCCTCTGAGCTCCCCTCCAAAACCATGCCCACTGGCCGCAACTGGGGCTCACTGCTGCAGTGAACAAGAAAAGAAAAAGAGCTGTGTGTGCCAGAGTAGATAAACTGCATTTTCAACAAGACAAGAAGTAATACTGCAGGAACATTGAGGGAATCACTTCTCATTTGATAATATACCCCGGAACAGTGAGGATGTGGTTGACAGTGTGAACACAAATCAGACAGTCTTTGGTAGGTTTGAACATTGTCTCATACTTCTGGGAGACTCATCATTTTGAGCATCTGATTGGTTCTACCAATCAGACAAAGACACACAGTGATGCCTGGGCTGCGTAAAGCACGAATGTCAAACTCATTTTGATTCAGGGTTCACATATATTCTAGTTAGATGTCAGGTGGGCCGAACCTGCACAATCATAACATAATTAAATCTAAATAACAATAAGAAGATGTTTTCATATAAAGACATACAAGTATATTAGAAATCATAAATCTTCATATTTAATGAAATATTGTTTTACAAAACATATGAACATTGAGTGCTCATCCAGCGGACCAGACTGAACCCCCCTAATGGGCCATATGTTTGACACCCCTATATTATTTATTTTATTTCGGCATTGTCAGTCCTCCATAATGAAGAAGTTTGATTGCTGTTTATTAGCTTTTCATAAGGCTACTGGTACAAACTTTCTAAAATATTTATAGAGATTAAACTTGACTAATGGGTTTAAATCTGATTAATAGGGACTTTGTAATTAATTCATCACAATAAATTGCATTTAAATCACGAGTGAGGCTTCCAACGGAATATGGCATGCTTGACAGAAGTGTGCTCCTGCTGTAATTCTTGAACGATAAACAAGCCTCCAGTCAGTAGGTGGCAGCAACTCATACAGTGGTTTGTACAGATAAGAAAATACATATTATTAGGTTCTCAATAGTATTTCAAATGTAAAAAAATGTCTGTTCTCTGAAAGGGTGTATGGCAGAAAATAATTAAGAACCACTTTATATTATCCACATTATACAAAGCTTTGTCTATTTCTTTGTATGAAAGTTATACTTAACACTCAAATCTATTATTAGCGAAAGGTGGGCGAGACCACCTACATAGTGCAGAGCCACAGAAGCAGCACAGAACAAAGCCCTACAGTCTTTATTCTTGCTTTCAGAGAACATTCGGTTATCACCAGCAAAAAATAACCACAATAGCATATATCTCCTCGACTAGCAAAAAAAGAAACAGATTGGTTAAAGGTGGTGTAAAATTAACGTGGCCACTGCGGAGAATGCTCATTCCGGCCGCTTGTATCCGGGCTCTTGTTCTTTCGGTCCCAAAACACATGACTCTAAGTGAGGGTAGGAACGTAAATCGAGAGCTTTGCCTTTCGACTCGGCCTTTCGGGCTCAGCTCCTTCTTCACCACAACAGACCGCCCCGGTGCACGCTGCAGGTCCTGGCTCGAAGAAGCCATCAAGACAACATCATCCGCAAAAAGCAGAGATGAAAGCCAGTCGTTCCCGAACTGGACCCCACCCAACACCTGGCTGTGCCTAGAAATTCTGTCCATAAAGATAATGAACAGAACCGGTGCCGTCAATGTGAACCAAGCTCCTGCTCCGGTTGTACAGGGACCGGACAGCCCTTAGAAGAGGGCCCCCGACCACATACTCTCAGAGCACCCCCAACACGAGAGACACGGTCATAAGCCTTTTCCAAGTCCACAAACCACATGTGGACCGGTTGGGCAAACTCCCATCATTGAGCTGGTCCAGCTTTCTATGACCAGGATGAAACCCGCATTGTTCCTCTTGAATCCGAGGTTCGACTATCGGCCGTATTCTCCTCTCCAGTACCCTGGAATAGACTTTTCCCAGGAGTGTGATCCCCGATAGTTGGAACACACCCTCCAGTCCCCCTTTTCGAAAAGAGGGACCACCACCCCGGTCTGCCAGTCCATGGGTACTGTCTCTGACTGCCATGCGATGCTGTAGAGACGTGTCAATCAAGACAGCCCCACAACATTCAGCGACTTGAGGTACTCAGGGTGGATCTCATCCACCCCCAGCACCTTGCCACAGAGCAGCTTCTTGACTGCCTCAGTGACCTCAGCGCAGGACATGGGAGGATCAGCCGCTGTGACATCCCCAGTCGAGGTCAACAGCCCCTAAGGTGTGTCAGCGGGATTGAGGAAGTATTCCTTCCAACCCCGGTGACATCCCCAGTCGAGGTCAACAGCTCCCCCCCTCCCCCGCTGTAAACAGCAGTGGTGGGAAACTGCTTCCCCTTCCTGAGGCGCCGGATGGTTTGCCAGAATTTTTTCGAGGCCAACCGGTAGTCCTCCTCCATGGCCTCCCTGAACTTTTCCCAGACCCGAGTTTTTGCTTACGCAACAACCGATGCCGCAGTCCGCTTGGCCTGTCTGTACCCGTTGGCTGCCTCAGGAGTACCTGAACCAGCCAGGCTCGGTAGGACTCCTTCTTTAGCTTGACGGCATCCCTTACGTAACGGCCAGTCGCGTCAACAACGGAAGTGGAGAACAGAGTCCACTCAGCCTGCAGCGGGACCTGGTCAAAGCTCTCCCGATACGATACATTTGGCTCTGACAGGTCTGTCCAGTTTTATGAACTCTCAGCAGAGAAAGCTTGTTTTGGTTAACAAATTTGTCTTTGTTCTGGTAGGAATTTGTCTTTTCTACACGAGTAGAACGGAACACATGAAGCATGTAAAAGGTGTTAACTAATTCCAGTACTGTAGGGTCTGGGCACTGGAAAAAATGAGAGTTCGCATGTCCTGGCAAAAAGACAATGCTATTTCGTTGGTAAATGAAACTACTGTTAACCGACAAATTGGCCGACAAACCGACAATTTATACTGTAATTTTCTCCATCTTTACTTATTATATTTTTATATCATATACAAGTACTGTAAAAAACACAAACTTGCTAACAATATTTTATAAACACAAAAAGATATGAGATACAGAAGGAAAGGAAAATGAACTACTTGTCATTGTGACACAGCACACCACTGCACAACAATAATTCTAACTCTATAATTCTAACTCGAGTTGTTGTTAAACGAATACGTTGTTGAGTGAGAACCGGCTGTATTGCATTTTCGTCAGTTCTGTTGGAAATCCTACAGTTACAGATTGTTAAACATGTATTTTATCTAAATATTGTATTCAATATTAAATACAAAATACTTTTCACATTTTTACATAATTGTTACCTCCACTAACACAGCACTTGCTAGTGGCATCAGTGTACGAAAGGCTCGTTGTCCTTCTAGTATGTAGAAATCAGCATAAAAAGTGTATATGTCAAGTAAATATGTCAATTAAATTGAACACTATCTCACAAAGTAGTTACTATCGATATCAGTTCCTTTTGGGCAAAACCATGTTCTAAATAGGCTACAATCTCTTGCAGCGAGACCCCATGGGAAGCAGTCTGGAGGACTCAAACGTCTTTAGCAAGAGAATTGTCTCTAGCCTACAGGGCTTTATTTTTTTTATCTGTTATTTGATATGGAGAGACAATTTACATTAATGAACATTTAAAGCTAAAATGTAAATACACCCAATTGTAGCCAATAGGCTAATTTCCATTAGTAGTCCCCCTGCCAGAGGGAGCATGGCAATGTAGCATGGTAGCGACAAGCCATAAATTACATAAAAGGCACCAAAAGGCAACAATTTATAGGACAGCTACAATATTTTCTAGCATCATGCCTAGATATTTGTATTTATTCACAATTTGGACTTTCTGGCCAGAAATATAAACGCTAGGCTCTGTGTTTGAATTCTTAGTTTTAACAAAAAACATAGCAACAATTTTTTAGATGTTAAGTTGTAAGTGACAGGTATTCAGCCAGGTTAAAACTTTAACCATGACCTTTTAAGCTGAAGCTTAAATCATTTATATACATAGAGGCCAAAATAGGAGAGGACCTAAGATTGAGCCTTGGGGGACACTCGTGGTGAGATCTCTGAAAGTAGATTTTGTATTTTTATTTTTCAATAACATTAGAGATAACAGGAAGAAGGCTTATTGGTCTTGACTGAGGGTCATCACTCTTAAAAATGGGGACAACAGCTGCCAGATTTCAGTATTGGCCTTGAGTAGGTTAAATATTCACAATCTGAGTAATAGGTTTTGTCAGAGAGTAGACACGATCCTTGATGATAGCAGAGTCCATTTCAAACACATCCTTTGACCAATTGGGTTTGAAGTCAATCACCTTTGCCACTTGAAATTCAGACACACTTCCGAAATTGAAGATGGGGACAGCAGACTTAGGTACAGTGACGTTATACAGCTGGTGTAAGGGAAAACTGTTGGAAATAGTAGCAACGGATTCTACAAATATATATATATTAAGATGGCGCTGGTGGCAGCAGCCTTCTGTTCCCTCTGCAGCACTAATTTTTCTTACAACTTTCACTCTACTTTCTATACCTTTTATTTACTCCTTTCACGGAGCATTATTATTAAATGTATCCTATGGATACCCGTAATCCTAAAATGGCAACTGGAGCCAGTTCTCTTGTTCAAGGGACGGGCTGCAGGACAAACATGGACTACGACCTGACATACCGGCAGAACTCAGGTGGTGGTATCAAGGATGTACCATGGAACTGCTTGTGAAGGAACTATGTCAGGGAGCATTTATTGTACAATGTCAAATTCTTTTAAAACTCAATAAAATGTAAAAAAAATAAATAAATAAAAATAAAAGGCAGTACAAATTTTCCTAGGGCAATGAAGACATAGCTGGGCTTATTTGTTATCTGATTAGTTTAGTACACCTTTGAAATCAAATCTATCAAATCCATAACTTGGGTAGAAAATGTGGGTAGAAAATGTTAAATATTTGATACATAATTAAATATTTAAATAAATCGTTTAATGCAGAAATTTTGACCTCATTTCCTACCGTTCACAGTTTTTTAAATTATCACAATAAGTGCATGGGATATGAACAGTTAATTTGGAGACAATGCTGCAAGCATGACAACACTTGTGGTAGCGCACAGGACTAATCTAT